GTGTGGCCTTCTCCACCTCAGGCCCACAACCCCACTCAGTGGCCTTGCTATTCTGTTCTGAACCACCGTCTTCAGCTCTGACTTAACTCTGCCTCTCCACCTGGCCCTTCTTTCTGGTTCTGCCACTTCTTGGGCACTAGGTTAACCTTATGGACCATAGCTTTTCTGCTTTGGACCTGGATCTGTCTTCTCACATTTTATTTTTATTTTTTAATGATTACTGCCTTTTCCTCATAACATTAATGGGACCAAATCCGTGTTTATACACATGAATTCTCACACCAGGGCCACAGCAACAGAAGTCTGGGAAACAGCCTATTTCCTAAAAGGGCCAGGGTGCAGAGGTGAGCTCGGACTGCAGGCTTCCTGAGGCCAGGACTCCCTGGTGACTTTTTGCTCCTGGCTGCATGTCTGGCACATAGCAGTACCTAATTCATAATTGGGAAAGCAGAGTCAGAACCAGTATGTGTGCATCCTGGGTAGTGGATTCAGTGCAAAAAATATTAGCTGAATATTATATTAATTGGGGTTCTCCAGAGAAGCATGAACTAATAGGTAGATGAATAGATAGATAGATTTTAGGGAATTGGCTCATGCTATTATGGAGGCTGGCAAGTCCAAAATCTGCAGGGCAGGCTGCAGGCTGGAAGCTCTTGGGAGAGTTCCTGCTGCAGCTTGAGTCTGAAGGCCCTCCACCGGCAGAATTCCCTTTTCCTCTAAGGAGGTCAGTCTTTTCCTTTTAAGACCTTCAACTGATGGCCGGGTGTGGTGGTGGGTGCCTGTAGTCCCAGCTACTCGGGAGACTGAGGCAGGAGAATGGCGTGAACCTGGGAGGTGGAGCTTGCAGTGAGCCAAGATTGCGTCACTGCACTCCAGCCTGGGCGACAGAGCCAGACTCCGTCTGAAAAAAAAAAAAAGACCTTCAACTGATTGGATGAGGCCTACCTACATTAGCAGAATACCCTGGTTTACTGCAAGTCCACTGATTTAAATGTTAGTCTCACGTAAGCTATCTTCACAGAAGCATTTAAAATAATGTTCGATGAAATATCTATGGCCTAGCCAAGTTGATACATGAAAGTAACCATCACAGGCTGGGCGCTGTGGCTCATGCCTGTAATCCCAGCACTTTGGGAGGCCGAGGCAGGCAGATCACGAGGTCAAGAGATCGAAACCATCCTGGCCAAAATGATGAAACCCTGTCTCTACTAAAAAATACAAAAATTAGCTGGGCATGGTGGCGTGCGCCTGTAGTCCCAGCTACTTGGGAGGCTGAAGCAGGAGAATCCTTTGAACCCAGGAGGCGAAGGTTGCAGTGAGCCGAGATGGCATCATTGCACTCTGGCCTGGGCAATGGAGCAAGACTCCTTCTCAAAAAAAAAAAAAAAAAAAAATCTCTCTCTCTCTCATTGTTGGGTTTATTGTTTACTCTTTAGGTAAGAACTGTAGGGCACTAAAAATAACATAGTTGAGTGGGAAATGTGTTTCACAGACATGATCTCATATGTTCTGCAAACATTTATTATTTTTATTCTTTGGGAGAAATTCCTCAGCTCTGCAGGGAAAACACCAAAATGTATTTTCTGAATCCTCTCCAGTCAATGGGGAGAAATAGGACCAGTGTGTGTGTGATTATGCCAGCCAGCCCTGACTCACTCATCTTTGCAGCTGATTCTCTACGTCGAGCTTTGATATTTTATTTCCCAGTCTGTTCAACATTTTTTTCCTGCATATCCTTGGTAAGGCCTCAAACTAAAAACTGAACGCATGGGATGCTAATTTACATGTTTACTGAAGTGCACGGGCTTGAATCTTGTCTGTGGCCCACCAAGGCAGACCTTTGCAGGAACTCTGCCTCAGTTTCAAGAACAATGGCACCTTCCTTTAGGCAGGGGGACAGTGACATCATTGATATAAGAAGCCTGGCAGGGCCCGTGGGCACCTGGTACCTAGCTAGTAATTAACACTCAGTAAGTGTTGCTGTGCTTACTTGCATCATGCTCCCTTCCAGACATTCACAGTCGAAAGAGAAGAGTAATCCTAGATAATCCTTAAACCTTCTGTTTAAGTTTCATTTTCTTCCCTTCCTTACCCTCTATATGCAAATGTACATTTGGCAAGCAGCAGGGAGCTTTCAGATTCCTTATCTCTCACACCCACCAGAACCTAATTTTGTTCATAGAGAGTAAAAAATAAAATAAATATTGCATTGGGGGAAAGATACGTGAAGGCACCCACATGACAGAGAATGGCTGTAAGGATATGAACATACATAAAGTAAGAAAGTGTGATTCTAAAAGAGCAGTTTATTGTTGTTTGAGCAGCCTGACCGGGACTTCTCCTTCCTGGTCCACTCTAACCAGCATGGAGCCTTAGGTTTTACAACTTTGATAAGTTGGTAAGTGAAAAATTTTTTCCTTTTTTTTTTTTTTTTTCTGGAGACAGAGTCTTGTTCTGTTGCTCAGGCTGGAGTGCAGTGGTGCAATCTCAGCTCACTGCAATCTCTGCCTCCCGGGTTCAAGCGATTCTCCTGTCTCAGCCTCCTGAGTAGCTGAGATTACAGGCACGCACTACCATGCCTGGCTAATTTTTGTGTTTTTAGTAGAGATGGGGTTTCACCATGTTGACCAGGCAGGTCTCGAACTCCTGGCTTCAAGGGATCCACCCACCTCGGCCTCCCAAAGTACTGGGGTTACAGGTGTGAACCACTGCACCCAGCCCAAAATTATTCCTTGACGCTTTAGTCTGTATGCTTACTTACTTGTGAAATCGAACGCTTTCTTCATACATGCATTTCCTACTTGTGAATTCCCTGACTGCATCTGCTCATTTTTCCTAATGGATCTTGGAGGTTTTGTTAAAAATTATAGTGATAAATAATAATCTATTATTTCTTTCTATATTGATTATTAACTGAGTCATATTTATGCCAAATATTTCCCCAGATTGCAGTTTTAAAAATTGTGTTTATAATATTTCTTCCATAAAGCAAGTGTTAACTTTTTGGTGCTGAAACCTGTCAGTCTTTCTCCCTGTGACTTTTGAGAGTAAATCTGCATTTCCTTCTCCCCGCTTCCTCCCCCATTTAGGAGAAATGGAGCCAGGGCCCCTCTATCCTCCGCTAACCACAGTAAACCCTCGGCTAATCTTTTTTTTTTTTTTTTGAGACACAGCCTCACCCTCTCGCCCAGGCTGGAGTGCAATGGCATGATTTTGGCTCACTGTGACCTCCGCCTCCTGGGTTCGAGCGATTCTCCTGCCTCAGCCTCCTGAGTAGCTGGGATTACAGGTACCCACCACCACGCCTGGCTAATTTTTATATTTTTAGTAGAGACGGGGTTTCACCATGTTGTGCAGGCTGGTCTTGAACTCCTGACCTCAGGTGATCCACCCGCCTCTGCCTCCCAAAGGGCCGAGATTACAGGTGTGAGTCACCGTGCCAGGCCTGCCACTGGCTAATCTTGATGCCCCACTTTTGAACATCTGCTGACAGTAGGACCAGGGGAGGCTGCATAGCCTGAAACTCAGGAACCACATGTGGGCTAGGGGAAGAACTGTCTGGAGGAAGGCCAGCTTCCCACAAATCTTTACCCAAGGGAGAGTTCTGCCTTAAAGTCCTTAAAATGCCCTCTACCAGAGCTACTGAAGGTTGGTTCTTAGGGTAAGGTTCAGTTCAGCAGAAGAATATGACATTGGACACAAGTGTGCAGGAGGGGAAGGGCAGGGAGTCGGGAAAGAGCCACAGAAGGGGCTGGGGCCCTACGGGGAGACTGGGAAACCAAGCCCTCTTTTCTTATTTCCTATTTTTGTTCCTCTTTTAGACCCAGTATGTCTTTCAGTAAAAAAACTGTTATTTAGCTGAAGTTAGAATTTGCATATTTAAGCCTCCCATGTGAACTGAGTGTAAGATGGAGAATCATAAGTAATTTAGATGTGTATAGCTATGCATAAAGTACTGATGCTGTTTTCTAAATCTGGAGTCTTTTCTACATTCAGAAAAATTGAGGAAGGAAGTGAGGATGTTTGGAAGTCAGCACTTCCTTTTTAATGGATAGTAACAACCCAGAACAGTTTTATGGGCCTAGGGAACGGGACAAGGTGACAACAATTGCAGTTTACCTGGGACTGAAGTTTCCCAGAATGAGGGACAGCCAGGACTAAAACCTGGACAGTCCCATGCAAACTAGGATGCTTTGCCATCTGGACTTGCTATTCACACACACCCCCCGCATGTGTGTAACCCTCCCCCAAAATAATGCAACAGCCTTTCAGTATCCATCTTTGACAGAGGATGGAACTACGGGTTGAAGAGACTCAGATACTTCCTTAAATTCACACAGATTGGGCATAAAGGAGCCTGCATGTAAACTTGGTTCCATCTGATGTCAGAGGGCCCTTTCTACCCTCCATGCTTGGGATTCATCAGTCGGGTCGGTGAACTCACTCTCTCACCCACCCACTCACCCCATATTTTCAGAGAGCAGAATATGTGCTATGCGAAGGATTGGATTATGGATGATTCAGAACAGGCTCTGTTATATTGGTAATTGGGAAAGCCCAGGAACAGCAAGGAGAATAGTAGTTCAAGAATAATCTTAAATAAAATGTATGGGAGGCCACTGTTTTGGACTGAACTCTTACACTAGGCCCAATGGACCAGACCAAACCAGAATGGAGTCATTCCTGCTAGGTGCCAGGCTGTCCAGCTGAACTTTAAAAAGGGCAGCTTTCCAAAAAATAGGAGATGCACAGCAGCCAATCAAAAGGGGACCAGTTTACCTGAGCAGGTTTGATGAGGAAGTCCCCCATGCTTTAACCCTACAAGAGAAGTAACTCTAAAACGCCAGTCTGCCTTTTGTTCCCTGTTTCTGCTTCTTCAGCCTTTCCTGCCTATAAAGCCAAGTCCTTTGCCTAGCTTATTGGAACATATTTTCTCAGTTTTTGGAGGGGATGCTGCCTGATTCATGAATCAGTAATAAAAACCAATTAAATCTTTAACGTTATTGAAATTTTTTTTTTTTTAACAATAATAACCTCAGTAGAAATAAAATTTGCAAGAGGTCTAATGTAATTGGAGCCTTAAGGCAACTCAGTACAGTAGTTCGGTACTCTTAGTACAGGTTAAGCATCACTGATTTGAAATCCAAAATGCTCCAAAATTAGAAACTTTTTGACGGCTGACACAATGCTCAGAAGAAATGCTCACTGGAGCATTTCGGATTCAGGATTTTCGGATTAGAAGTGCTCCACTGGTAAGTATAATGCGAATATTCCAAAATCGGAGAAACACTCCTGGTCCCAAGCATTTTGGATGACGGATGCTCAACTTGTACACCAATATTCTTAGAGGCACTTCAGATTAGGATGAGTCTGTATTAGGTTCTTCCTCATCTAAGGCAGTCTTGGGAATTCAAACAAAACCCAGATTTTCCCCCCATCACAAACACACACACTCACCTACCAGTTGACTAGGTTCAAACTCCAGCCATCCTGAGCATCTTCTCCTTTACTTGGGGGTTGGTTTCAGTTGAATTCAAGGTTTGGAGTCTCTGGAATTTGTACTCATTTCTTGAATGAGAAGAGTTACCAAAATGAAGCAACTACACCAAGCCTCAGACATTTCACATCATACAATAGTCTCCCGTTTATATGTTTGTCTCTTTCCTTTACTGCTCGACTTCGGCGTGGGTCCTCTTCCTCCATCGGCCATTCTTCCAGTGTCTAGCACAGTCAGGGTCTGCTACTCGCCAAATGGGTGGGTAAACAGCTAAACACAGAAATCCCTGCGATATAAGAATCGTTGCCAACATCTACAATTAAACCAATTTTTAGTTGATAGCAAATAATGTTAAGGTACAAAAAAGTGAAACACAACTCCTTTTAAGAAAAAGAAATCCTAAACTCCATAGTATTTCTCTGAGCAATTGCAAGAAAACTTACATGACTCGCCAGAAGGAATAACCCAAGACAGTCTATGAAACAAAACTGGGGTTGTGGCGACTTTGATCTGCATCATTAATTTAATTTCTCAGTTTTACAAGTAAGCAATGAAAATGAACAGGACTGATTGAATTACATGTTACTTAGGGCTTTTGGGAGGTGGTCACAGCTGAATCAATCCATTTACCTTCCATGGGAGGTATTAATATATATCTTATTGCTTATTTTCTTTTAACCCAACACTTTAAGCTCAGCCAGAGATCCAAGGGACAGTGGAGGTTGCTGGGCAGGAGTGTCAGTAAAGAGGCCAGTGAGATGCTGAAGATGGCTTAAGCTGCCCAGTGCTAGCACTCAGGAATCTGAAAAATTTAAACACTATCACCTGACACCAATCCTTTGTGAGGTCCCAACAGCGCCTTCCTTGTCTTCAGTGAGAGCTGTCTACTTGTTCTGGAACACTTCTGAGCTCCCCCATTCGAGGCGATGGAGACGAGGAGGCGAGCCCCCACCCTCCCCGTCTCCCATCTAAGATGTCACCACACTTTCCACAGGAAGAAGACATCTGGAGTTGCAAAAGGAGGCTGTGCAGTTTCTATCCGCTTACCTAATAGCCCCTCCACCGAGCAGCCACCTTCCTTGGGGTTCTCAGGAACACTCCCCTTCCCACAGACAGAGGCTGTTTCCAGCCTCCCCCCACCAGCTACTGTTTCCTTTTTCAAGTCTGTGGGTGAACTGTGGGGTCCACTCACCTCTGTTTTTCTAAGTCCCTCAAATCCCTTTCCTACCCTGGTATGTCCAGGATTCATCTCCTCAAAATTGTTTCAAGGGCACGAGTTACAAATAAGATTAGCTAGCACATGCTATTTAGAAAGTTTCATGAAAGAGAAGGAAAGAAAGAAGGAAGAAGGAAGGAAGGAGTTGTTACGTAAATGAGAAATACTGAAAGGCTGTTTAACTGATATTGCAGACACTATAGTTCCATAAAAAAGATAAATTGTGAAAAACAAGGGTTGTAAACACTTTTATTTTTCCTTAATTGACTCTTGAGCAGACCAGATGACTCAGTACTGGTCTCCAGGGATCAGCCTGTGCTCCAGGGCGTTGTAACACATTTATATTACTTATCCTATTTAACATTTTGAGTCATATTATTTTCACAGAACCTTATTTACTATAAACGTCTCATAAATCTACATAGTATACACATTTCATTTAATGTCTAAGAAACATATACTATTGTACACCATTAAATACACCCGGTAAAGACACCCTAGTTTGCTTAATCATTCCTCAAATGTTAAGAGATTTGAGTTACAATTAATGCAACAATCCTCCCTTTACCTCCATGGAGATAATTTTTTTGTTGTTCTCTAACCCATTTATTTGTTTCTTTGTCTGCATATGTGTTTATACTCAAATAGGCAGCTTTGTTTACTTTTCATCTTTGTATGTTAATGTTCAACAAAGGATTTCCTGAATCAAAAAACATGGTCAGTTTTACAACCATTACTGGCTTTTGCTGTTGGAGACTTTATAGCAGCAGAGAAGTGGAGGTCTGAATTAGCACATGACCATTTACGTTACAAAATTCTCATAAGAAAAACTTGCATGTTCTATTTCTTAATTTGATAAATTGTCAGTTATGTACCATTGAATTTTTATCCCTGCTGAAGTTATACCCGAACTCCGTATTTGCAGGGAATTTCAGAGAAGTCAGGATGGGCCCTTAGTGCAGTAATTACAGAGTGTAACAATAGAGAACATGGCACTTTTTTAAAAAGTCGAGAGCTACCTCTGACCTGTCACTCCTAAAAGATGTCTCCTAGCACTCATCTTCCTGCCTTCCTGGGCTAGAGCTTGATAGCTTACCTTAGGGTGATCATGGGGACCTGGTTTTCATGAGGCCATGTTTAAGTTCAGGGGTGACCTGGCTGGGGAGAGGGTAACCCATGAACACAGGCCAGTTGACAGACTAGGATTGCCACTTTGTAAAGAAGAGCCCAAGGCCTGATCAGAATGAGACACGAAAGAGGTCATTTTTAATAGAGCTAGGGGTGGGGAGAAGGACAAATGGACTGAGGCAATTCTCAGGGAGGGAAGGGCTGGATAGGGGACTATTTTGGGAGAGCCTAGAAACCACACAAGCGTCCCAGACACGCGGGCTAGTGGAGAGGAGAGCGGAATGAGAGCAGTCATGAAAAAGGGTAAGGGAACACAAGAGAAATTCGGTTTGCTTATTTTTGGGCACAGTTTTGCCCTTAGCAACCTAAGGCAATTTCACAAACCTCCACTCACTGCTCAGGATGTATAACACGGCGGAGGCTTCCACTGTGGTTTGACTGGCTTTTGGGAATCGAGCTGGAAAGCCAAAAGGACACGTTTCAGTGCCGAGATCCAAGTCTTAGTGGGTGCCCTGAGGGCAGGCGAAGGCCTTGGGGGAGGTGTCTTTGCAACTGTGTAGCGGTGGTTTTCTGATTAGCAAATCTGAGGGCAGGGAGATACTGTGATCAGGACTGTTTGATTCTGGGCAAGCCTCTTTTCACCCTGCCCACATAGAAGACTTTGCTTTGGATACAAAGTCAAGGACAGATACTGATACAATGGACCTGTAACTTGTGCATGGCTGCCTTTTGAACAATTTAGTCCATTTGAGGAACCTCCACAAGCCTGCACTTCCAGGGCAAAGTTCCTGCTCTTCTGGGGAATTTAATTGTGAATTGTCTGTTTTGGGGCCCATTTTGACTCCAGTATTCCAGGACTTACCTCTTTGGAGGCCTTGATTTGGAATTTCCCATTGGATGGGGCGACTTGGGTATGGGGTAGCTTCAACCTGGCTTCTGTAAGAACAAAGCCAGATGATCACGGTGGGTGGTCTGCTAGGAGAATGGAAATGCCATTGATTAAAATTGAAAGGTTTGGAGAGAGGCCCGAGAGTTTGGGATAGGAGATGAAGTTTTTAAAAATCAGTTTTTTAAAAAAACACTTCCCATCTGAAATGCCAGTGAATTGTCCAGATAGATTACATTGAAAAGGCTGACATTTCTGTAGCAGCCACGAATGAAGTCATCTGAGTGGATGAGGTGCTCTAGGCCATACATGGAGAAGAAAGAGAACGCAATTACCCAGGCCTCCCGTGACTGCGTGCGGCCACAGCCTCTGCTCATTTCCTAGTTAGGAAGGATGCGGGGATCTGCTGGGATCTCCACGTTTCTACCTGTACTTCTGAGGACTGGGTTTCTGCCCACACCAGTTGCAGGATTTGCTCTAATGAGAAAGAGTTTTGCTCCAGAATGCAAGTTTCCTGTTTCAGACACGGACAGCCAGTTTTGCTTCTAGAATCATTTTCAGCTACATAGAGAAAAATGAACTTGGCTGAGCTGAAGAGCCACGCGTATGTTAAACGGCAGCTCGGGTATTAGGAACGCCGAGAAGGCAGGCCGAAAAGTTAACCCCCTTCTCCTCACCCCTGTCCTCACAGCCGCCCCTTCAGTGGCCTGACTTTTTCTGCCCGGGACCCAGCATGTCGCTGGAGGACGGGACTAACCCGCAGACCTGCAAGCGCTGCCACGCAAACGGCCTCGGCCAGAGCAGCCGCTTCTCAGAGGAGCATGGCATCTCCAGGGACCCTCTGGCAGAGGGGCCGGGTCTCCACCGGGCCGGTCCCGTCCTTCCTACCCGGGCCTTGCGGGCAGGCGGGGCCGGGAGCGGCGGATGCGGGAGGGCGCCGGGGGAGCCCGGCTCGCGCGGGGCTGGTCCGAGGGCGGAGGCAACGCGCCGGCGACGCCGCAGGTCCCGGGTGGCTGACGCCGTCCGGGGGCGTTCCTGGGAGCTGGGGGCCGGCGAGGCTGGACCCGACGCGCCCGGGAGGAGCCGGCCGGGGCCACGTGACCCAGCGCGGCGGGGCCGGCGGCCCAGAAATAGCAGCGGCGGCGGTTCCGCCCGCGGGCGGCGCGAGCGAGGAGCCGAGGCGGGAGAAGCCGGCAGGGCGCGGGCGCGGCGGCCCCGGAGGATGCTGCTGAGCCCCGGCCCTGTCCGGCCGCGAGCACATGATGGCTATACGCGAGCTCAAAGTGTGCCTTCTCGGGGTGAGTCCTGGCCGCCCCGCGCCGCGTACCCCGGCCGCCGCCCCCGCGCCCCTTCGCTCCCCTGGTCCCCGCGCGCTCAGACGCCGCCATCCCCTCGCTCTCCGCTCTCCTCTCGGAGCTTCCGTCCCCCTCGTCCGCTCGCCCGCTGGTTCCCCGGGTCCCCCTCGCTCCCCAGTCCGTGCGCCCCTCGCTCTCCGCACCCCCTCTTGTTCCCCGCCGCCCCCTCGTCCGTGCGCCCCTCCGGTCCGCCCCCGTCTCACCCTGCCGGGGTCCGGGTCCGAGCCTGTCCCGGGCTTTTTCTGCTCTTTCCTCCCGGCCCGCGAGTCCCCGGATCCGCGGCGGCCTCGCGGGGACCCCCGGCGGGGACGGGGCAGTGGCTGCGAGTCTGGGGCCCCGAGGGCTTTCTCCTCCGCCTTTGATAGTTTCCTTCCGGCAGAAAGTTTAAGTTGTTCAGCCAAGTCGCTGAGGACTCTTTTGCCTCCTGAGGGCTATTGATTGTTCACTTAAAACACAAAAATAAAACCAAACGCGAGCCCAGCCGAGGGGGTGAGAGCCGAGGGCGCGGCCGGGGTGGAAGGTGAGGCGGTGACCTGTGCGGAGCGCGCCCTGCAAACTTCCCTGCTGCGGATGAAAGCAGCCGGCTGGGAAAGTCCTCTCCTCCACCACTTCTCCTAAAGTGGGGCTTTCTCAGCCCGAAGAAGCCTTAAAGCCGCCAGAAACAAAGAGGCAGTCAACCCTTGCGGTCAGGGGACTGCAGACCGGGGACCCGGCCAGGACGCAGGGAGCCGCCGGCGAACCGCCCCTGAGAATTCAGATAAACGTAGGGTCGCTTCCTTTCGGGGGCCCACATCGCACTCCAGAATTCCTTCTTCTAAAAGAAGAGCTGGTTCTAAGGGCGTTTTCAGCGGCCTTTGGCATCTGGTGTACCCGCCCATGTCATTGGCAAAGCTGGTCTCATGAAAACCATTTCCTAAAAAACAGTAGCGAAAGGGTCGCATTCTTGTGCGAACTGGTCTGTCAAGATAGGGATACAAGAACTGTAGAAAGAGGAAATGATTTCGGTGAGGACTGAACTGTGCCAGCGTCTCTAGGCTTCCTCTAGGCTCTTCTGGAACCTCCGGCAGAACCTGGTTCTGTCCACCGGCTCCCATCACTGGCCTCTGCCAAAACCATCCCTTACCCTAACTCGATTGTCCGGTTGGCCTAGAATTCCAGAGGATCTGGGAAGGCCCTGCCCTCCCTGGTAGCCCCTGGCACAGATCCCCACCTCCCCCGACTTGCTCAGCCACAGCCAGGATCTAGCCTGGTCCTTTCCCTGTTGACCTTTTTGTGTGTCTGGAGTGGGTTTTCCTGTTCCCCAGGCCCTCTAATATTTCCAGACGTGAATTCCAGGAATCCCATGCTTCCCTCTTGAGGGGCCGTTTCAGCTTCAGGAAAGGCCTTCAGAGACTTAGAAGGAATGTCGTGTTCCAAGGAATGAAGAGGCAGCCTTGATGTGCGCTGTGTTTGTCAGGATTGGCCTTGGGAAAAACGAAATAAGACATGTTTTTGCCTTTTTTTTCTTAAACTCTTTCTCTTCACTTTTACTGTGGTGGTCCAAGCCCTGCTCTATCACAGGACCCCTTATTTTCAATTTCGGTATTTAGGGACAGGTCTCTATATCCTCCTGCCAGGACACTGATCAGGTGGCAAGAACCCTGTATCAGGAGGCAGGAAACCGGGCTCTCATTCTTTCCCACCAACGAGCTGTGTCGCTTTAGCAAAGCAACTCAGCGGCCTCATCTATGAAATGGGCATAATAACATGTTCCCCCTTAAGGCAGAGGACTATACCAGATGATCTCTTAAGATACATGCTACCATTTCAAGGTGGCAATTAGCAAACCTGGGAGAGGAGGAAGGTGGAGGAAATCTCTTTACTTCTTTTATCTCCAAGAATGATACACACTCTTTGAGCGGCTTCCTGCACACCGTGCCTTACCTTTGCCAGTTCTGTGTGTAGGAAATTGGAGTTGGAAGAACCATGCCAAAGCAGAGAAAGAATAGGTTTCTGGGCAGATGGAGGCTTTGAAACATCAATCGTGGCTGGTCGCAGTGGCTCACACCTGTAATCCCAGCACTTTGGGAGGCTGAGGCGGGGGGATCATTTGAGGTCAGGAGTTCAAGACCAGCCTGGCCAACATGGTGAAACCCATCTCTACTAAAAATACAAAAAAATAACTGAGTGGTAGTGGTTCATGCTTGTAATCCCAGCTACTCGGGAGGCTGAGCTAGGAGATTCGCTTGAGCCTGGAGGTAGAGGTTGCAGTGAGCCAAAATCGTGCCACTGTACTCCAGTCTGGGTGACAGAGTGAGACCCTATCTCAAAAAAAAAAAAAAAAAGGAAACATCAATCATATCACACCACATCTGTGGCTTCCTTTTTTTTTGAGGGTGGCTGTAAGTTTCAGTTTTATTGAAATCAGAGAACATTTTCTTTGAAAGGCCAAATGACCTTATTGTCCACACTGAGTAAGATTTGCCACATCCTCTCGCTTGGCTGGCGCTTTCCTGGGTGAGATGTGTGCAGCAGGCTATGTTTCTAGCTGCTCATCCAATTAGGCTGATTCTCTGGGTGGGATAACATTTGAGGTAGACCAAAGCCATTTAACTGTCTTCGGTTTACTCTCTTCTCTCGCTCTCTTTTTTTATTTGTTTTGAGACAAGGTCACGTTCTGTCACCCAGGCTGGAGTACAGTGGTGCCATCATAGCTCACTGCACCCTCCAACTTCTGGGCTCAGTGGATCCTTCTGCATCGGCTTAGGTTTATTCTCTTGATTCCAGAGACCCTGTGGATCAGCTAGTGCTAAGTCCAAAAGTCCTTAAAAAAATATGTATATTTTTGAGATAGAGTCTCACTCTGTTGCCCAGGCCGGAGTGCAATGGTACCATCATGGCTCACTGCAGCCTCAACCTCCCAAGCTCAGGTGATCCTCCCACCTCAGCCTCCCAAGTAGCTGGGACCATAGGTGTGCACCACCCACCCAGCTAATACTTTTTATTATTTTTGTAGAGATGGGGTCTCCCTGTGTTGCCCAGGCTATTTCAACATCTTAACAGGAATTGGGCTCGTTTGTTCTTTGCATAGGGAGGTCTGTCTTTTCTGGGTGAAGTTTTGTGTGTTGCCGGCACTCAGCTTCCTGTTTTTTAGCTGTGAGACACCTCCCTGAAGTCTTGGTATGACCAAGACCCTGACAGCCACACCTTCTTTCTCCCTGTTAGAATCACTGTCTGTTGGGTTTCCCTTAGAAGGTGACAGAGAACGTAGACTTCGTAACAAAATCTCACTCTCACTGGGAAGGCTGAGGGGTTGGTCTTTTTGTGCCTGGTCCTGTGCTCAGTGAGGACGTGGGGACATGCTTCCCATATAAGGTATAGGTTGTTTTAGGCATGAGCAGTGGGAACTTTCAGCAGAGGCTCCCTGCTGGTCACTCTTTGCTGTAGTTTCCTGCGCCATCCATGGGGTTAGAGGTCTTACCTCCTGACATTAGAGTCATTTGCAGCAGGTGGGAGTGAAAGTGGGCCGGTGCCAGGTCTTCTTCACCTGAACTACTTCTGTTTTCCTGGCATGTTAGGAATGTCCGAGCTTATTTCTTTTGGTGAATGCTCCCACATGGGATGGACAATGGCCTGTGGAACATTCTCTGAATGCTTTGTGTTCTTGGAAAACCAAGGACTGAAGAGCACTGGGTTTGTTTAGGTTACCTCTTATAAATTCTTGGCTCGCATTTCATGTGTGGACTTTCTCGGGTTCATTCCACATGGGGACAGCCCAGCAAGGCTTTGTGAATGCCCTTTCCTGGCCTGAGCCGAGTCACCTGTGGAAGTCAGCTGTGCAGGGGGGTGTGCTTGATGGAGGAAGCACCCTGGGCAGGACCCTGTTAAGTTTCCTTCTTACCAGGAAAGTGTCGTTCGTCCCACTTTGTGATCTGAACCGGTGTTATGAAACATGAAGCTTAAAGGCAACACCCTTAAAAACAGCAAAGTATGTTAACAAAAAAAAAAAAAAAAAAAAAAAAAAAAACTAACAAAAACAACACTGAGGCAGCAGCTGCTTCAACCCCAAAGGTGGAAAGTTTCCCAGTATGCATTTTTAACACACATCACCACGTGGCAAGAAGCAGGAGGAAGGCAGAGAGTGGGGAGGAGGAGAAAGAGAAGGAGGGGACCTTTGTTTTGTTATTTCCTTGGGGTATTTGTGCGCGTGCACTTAAAAACTGCTTCCTGATGGAATCCCAAAGAGATTTATATTTGGACTTTGGTTGTCTTGACAACAATTTAGAAATTTCTACCACTTCCTCAATAGCTGAGTGATCAGTTAAAAGAGCCGATGGCTTCCGTGCTTCTGGTAAGGAGCTTGTTGAAGCATCTCCTTGTGATCTTGGAATCTATATGGTAGCTCATCAAAGAGCAGTTAAATACCTGGGATTTGGTGAGACATCTGGGTAATGGGGACTTCATCTATGTCCACGGCCTTCACATGGGCCTCTTGTCTCCCCAGGGACACTAGGGTGCAAAAGAAGAACAAATTTATATTCATGGTAAGGCAGATCATCAGAACTGTGCAACCTCACATGAGTTGCTTTGAGTGCTATATGAGAGAGTATCCAATAAGGTGATAAGAATTTGTTAGTGTTATTGTGGAAGGAAGGAATGCATAGGATAGTGGGTTGGGCTGGGTAATGATCACATTTGCTTTCCGAGTCTGAGATTCTGGTAACTTACTATTTTTTTTTTCCCCCAGAGACTGGCATTTCTTGGGGAGGAGGAATGGTGAGGAGGGTGGAGTGGCTAGCCACAGCATTTATTTCTTGGCACAACTGATTCTTCTATTAAATTGAACCATTTGTGGAAAGTATGTTCAGCATTGGTGACTCTGGGTAACTTCTATGTTACATGAGAATAAATATGATATAGTGGGGTATCTTCCCAGCAGTGCCTGGTATATGGTAACACTGTGT